AGCTTCTTGGATAAGAAGCGAAACGTCTTCAAAGAAAAACCAGAAAGTCCAGTTGCCTCTTGAGAAAAGCACCTTTGCGACTTCAATGACAGAGTTTGACAACAGAGGCTTTTCAGCTCAAGTAAAGGAAGTCCTTCTCTCTGAAAATTAGCAACCCTCCGTCATCCAAAAAGTTGCCCTGGAAGGGAGAAGGCTCTCCAAAGCCACTGACCCCACAGAAGTCTCGGCTGACCGGATTCTGGGCTTTCTAAACCCATTTTGGAGGTGGACGTTTGGGTTATATCATGAGGGCAGGCCCCACCCTCAAAGAAAGAACCGAGAATGATCAGTTTGTGCTTGGAGTTCTTGTGTTAAATGGGTCATCTCCCTTTTGAGAAGCATTTTTGCAGCAGAAGAAAGGCAAGAGTGTAGAGAGAAGGAGGGTGGGGAAGCGTTGCTGCTTCATTAATATTTTACTTTCCCTCTCTGCAGTCTGTCTGTAATTGCAGTCCAAAGGACCAAGGAGTTAATCCAAAGAGCAATGAAGGATGCTGTGATTTTGAAGGGCCTGGCGTTCCAGATTCCCTGGCATCCCAGCTCTCCCCCAACCATCCACCATGCCTGGTGCCTGACTCCCTCTTTTAGCAAAAGGTTTGCTCTATTTGCTCTAGCATCCAATATTGGCAGAGGGGTTTCCCTCACCAGGCAGAGTTCGGTTCCCGAGCTGTGCCATGAATGTCCGAGGGGTGTCTGCTTGCTTGCCTCAGCACCAATCCCTCGAATCCAATCTGGCCCCCTTTGGTCCCCACTGGTCAAAGGCCCACATCTCCTTTCTAGCCCAGGGGGAGCAGACTGATACAAAAGCGTCTTTGGCCCTTTTCCTTTCACCCTTAGTTAAAACGTTCCAGTGATGCTTCTCCTCCTGGTCCACGTCTTCACAGAATCAATAATCCCTTCAGGGTGTGTCTCTATGCCCCTTTGCATGGTTGAATTTTCAACTGTGGCTGCCCCAAAGAGGAAGCAGGGCGAAGCAGAAGTGGCCTCTCTGATCCTGGACGGTCTGCACAGCTGATCCAGCATCTAGATCCTCCTCAGTGTTCAAGACACAAGTTGCTCCCTCCTTAGGATGCAGTCTACTTGGCTCTCTTCCAGCCTTCGCTCACAGAAGAGGAACTAGAGGGAAGCAATCTGGGCACTGAAAAGTGAGAATTGATGCCAAGTGGCAGCAAACTGCGGCAGAATGCCAGATCTGCTCCCCTCATATCTTCTCTCCTCATCAAGTGCACACCCTCCACTTAGGATGGGAATAAGCCAAAAATCAGGCCAAGAAAAAGGTGCTACCAGATGTGGTTGGTTTTCCCAGGGTGAAAGAGGGGAGATGCCCCAAGAGCAGGCAGGTTGTTGACGGAAGCCACAAGTCCATGGATCAGGCCTGGGGCCATCTTCACAGCCTCCTCTCCTTCCCCAGGATGAGCAGTGGCATGCTACCCACTCAAGATGGCCCCCTAGCCCTTGGCACAACACAAGACAATTAAAGTGCACTTTTCTTTGCCAGGGTGTGGAAAATAGCGGTCGATCAGAAATGTACACATCAGTAAAATGTTCTCCTTCTTCTTGGCTTTTTAGTTACCTCACCAAAGTAATTCCTAAAAGATTGTTTCCACTATACAATAGTTCCTCTCAATCAAAATATTGATCATGGATGTATAAAATGTCATCTTGCCTTAGGGGTACAATTTATTGTTTAGTGTAATTTATTTATTAATTTACCCCTTTAGTGTAATTTATTTATTCTGAAATTATTGTGTATGGGGATTTTTTTAAGCTTCTGTTTAGTTTTTGTTTGCTTTCTTTCTTGTATTCTTTTAAACAAATCTCTGATGTTTTATTCATGCAGTTTAAATAAATCCATTAAAGTGTTTCGGGGTCTGAAACATTTATGAAATGGCTAGTCAGAAAACTCATCCTGGTGCACATCGATACTTTTTTCAAGCAGGCAGGGACTGATTGGAGTTGCAGTCCAACAAAACTGGAGCTATTAAATTCTAAACAGCTCCTTTCCTTAACTGTAATGGGAAAACTGAGGTTAGTTTATATGTCTCTCAAATCCACAGAAACTTCCTTTTATAACTTGTTCAATTTTTCTAAGAAAATGGTATCCAAATTGTTCATGCTTTTTCTCTCAATTTTTCAATAACAATTTGTGTTCTGCTTTTCTCCAACTGTCTGAGGTTAGATTGGGGGGAAAAGCTGACTTTAATTTCTAGAGGAAAGAATAGCTATTTTCTACATTGAGCGACTTTTAAAATTTTGGTGGTGACTTAATTTCTCCTTCATCTAAGAAAGTGGTCATGAATATTTATGGCACTTGAAAGCATAAACAAGCCGAAGATCCTCGAATCCCTGGCAATGTTTCTCCTCTTTTCTGAAACCAAGACATGGAAAGTAATAATTTATGGAAAAACAGAGGCAGTTCCTTGATTAACAGAAACTCTGGCCATCCAAAGCATCCTTCAGCACCAGGATGGAGCTGAAAGGATCCAAAATAAAGATCCAGCTGTGTGCAACTATTTTCTTCCCCAATTCTGCATCTCTCCAACTAAAGCCAGAAAGATGAGGATGAAGACTATCCTTTAAATAAGAAATTTTAATGGTCTCACTGTCTTACCTGAGTAAGCATACTTAATGCAAAAGGGCATATGTTAGAGTAAAGTTGGACTGCAATTCTTTCCTTTCTGGTGGAAACGGGGAGGCAGCCTTTGCTCCTTCAGAAATCCTGTCCCTCTGGGAGTGGAGAAAAGACTTGAGGGAATAGTTACTTCAAGACGCTGGTCCTTCCCTAAAGCCCATTTGAAATTGCCCCCAACATTTTTACCCACCAACACGTAGCCATTCCTATTCAAGGAAGTTGATTTCAGGCAGAATTCACTCCAAATGAAACATGCAAATAATTGCTGCTCCCTAATGTCAAACCAAGGAAGTCCAAGGCAGAAGGAAGAGCAGAAGAACATTCTTCGGTCATGCCATTCCAGAAGCTTTATCTTCATGAAAAGATCATGCATGAAATCGAAGGCCTCCAGCTCCTTCTCACCCATGGATCTACTTCAAGATCAGCCAAAGTGAGCAGGTGTTGCAACCTGGTTGAAAGCCAATAACAGAGGAAGTGGCCATCTACCAGTCTTTTTCAAGGATGCAATACTGTATGATCGTAGGATCCCAGGGCTGATGATGGAGGAGGGTGGGTGGACGTAGCTGCAGCTCCGAGGCTAACAGTTGCCATCCATTTTGCAACATCCAACAAAAGACTGATCCATCTATCCTGGGGCAGCACATGAATAAAACCAATGGTGTGAAGGAGTTCCTTTGCCAGTTCTGGATTTTCCCTGCCAGGCAAAACTCTGGAATGCCTCCCCCAACCCCGAATTGTCTTTTTCTTAAGCCATGAAGTCCAAAATGGGTCATTTTTTTTCTCAGATGCAAATGGCTCCAGAGGGCTTTTGCTGCACACCTTTTCCAGTGTGACAACATATATCCAAGTGTGGTCTCACAATGGACAATCACACTGGTCATTTCATTTCTCTCTTTTCTCCAAGGAGCCTCAAAGGTTGCCTGCATTCCAGCACTTGCAGAACCCAACTGGCTCCTCTGAAGAGACCTGGGCCAGCGGTCATCAGCAATGGGTCCTTCAGGGTGAGGGACCTGGCCATTATGCCTTAGTGGCATGGTCATTGTCAGGACAGTTACTGCCTCTGGAACTGTTTGCAGGGGAGAATTGACTGGATGGGAATCCCATAGCAAAAATAAGATGAATGTAATAAAGAAATTACAAACGTATATATTTCTTTTCCAATCCACCTAAGCTGAAGTCTTTCTCCACCTCTTGCACAGTGAACACATTGAACTGATAAATAAATATCAGGTACAGCACTAACAGAGCCAGCGGGAGAGATTGTAAGCCCTTTGTAGCAGGGGACCCTGCTCTCATTTTAATCAATTGGGGCCGACACAGTTGATGTGAGAAGGGTGAGACCCGGCGAGTCTCAGAAGAAAATGGGGAGGGGGAGGCGGCGGAAGGCCAGGCTAGGAAATCAGAAAGGGTATCCCAGAAGAAGGTGAAAAGCCAGACAGGTTTCCCTGAAGCTACCAAGAAAACTGCTTGAGCTGTCCACGAAATGCAAGGAACCCAGCTTTACCTTTTTCACCCCTGCAAAATGCCCCACGCACGAATGGCAGAGCATATTGTAACAAAAATAGCAATTGAAACTCCAGAGGACTGGGGTGAAATGCGGGGGGGGGGGGGGGGGGAGCAAAGGATGGCTTCAGGAGCATTCAGGAACTGGTACCACCAGCAGCCCCCCCTTCTCCCTGCCGTGATCCCGGATCTATGCTGGGGAGGGATCTCTGTCCAGCTCCAGCTGTGGCTGCTGATCCCGGCCAGGCAAGAGCAGCATGTACGGGGGAGGGGGATCTTACTCCTCTTCTTTGGGCAGGTCCACCGGCAGGCGGGAGGTGTGGATGCCCCCCCCCCGAGGGTTCTCCCCATCCGCCACCAGGCAGCACGCAGCCACGGGCAGAGCCGAGGGGCTCTCCCCGGGGTTTGCTGCCCAGGGGCAGGGAGGGGGCGGCCGCTGGTGGGGGATTAGAGGCATCTCTTTGTGTGCAGTGCAGAATCGCCGCTCCTCCCGGCCCCCGCTCCAACTTTCCATCCACCCCCAGGACAGGCAGCCCCCCTCCCCCGGGCTCCCTGCAGAGACCCCCGGAGGGCAGCGAGCCTCCCCCTTCCTCTCGGGCAGCGGCAGCGGCGACCAAGGCGAGCCGGCCCCTTCGGCCGGGGGGGAGTCGGGGGTCGGCGGTTCTCTGCGCTGTTCCCTGCAGCGCTGCTCCAAAGGCCGGGTGGGGGTCGGGAGGGGGCTGCCTCCTTCGCGCGTCCGGCAGGGCAAGCCCCGGGGAAAGGCGCCCGCCCGCCCGCCCGCCCGCCAACCGCCACTCCTCCCAGCCGCTGGGCCCCCCGCGCCATCTACCTGACCAGGGCTGGGCTATCCCGACGATCGCGACGGCTGCTAAGCGAGCGCCCGCCACTCCTGCCGCATCTTCCGCCGCCTCCTTACAACCGCTGGAGCCGGAGCGGCACGCGCTGCCCGCCCGGGCTGCTGGGCGGGGGCGAGAAGGAGGGGCCCGGGCAAAGGCGGGGAGGGGGGAGGAGGTCCCTGCAGCTCCCCCCGGCGGGGCTCCCCGGCATCTCCCCCCCGCCCAAGCCCGGCCCCGCCGAGGGACTTCCGAGCCCGCCTGGGCTGCGCCCTCCTTCCCAGCCCACGGAAGGCGCCGCTGGGCGCAGAGCTCTCCCCGAGCGCCCCCCTCCCTGCCGGCTGGGGTGGTACAGTCCGGCGGGAACGGAGCGGGCCGCCGCCCCGGTGACTCCGGGGAAGACTCGCCCTGAGGAGAGGGCCGGGGGGCCGAAGGCGGGAGGCCGAGTGGGAGCGCGAAGGGTCCCGCCAAGAGACGCCGCAGCCCAGGGGCGGCGACGCCCTTCCCAGCCGGGCGAAAGAGGCTCCTTCGCCGGATCCCGCGCGCCTGCCCCCAAGCCCAAGGCTCTCCGGGCGGGTCCCGCGCGAGTCCGCTGAGGATTCGGCGCTACTCCCGGTGGCGCGAGCCGCTTGGTCCGCCCGGGACGGCTGGCCTCCGATCGCCCGACGTCGGAAGCGAGGCTGGCTTCCCGGGAAGGGCCGGTGGCGCTGCAGAGGGGGCGGCTGTCGATGAAACGCTAAAGAGAGAGTAAAAGACGGCCACGAAAAATAAGCTAACACGGAGAACAATCCCGTCTCTCCATCAACCGAATCCAGAAGCCCCATTGGATGCCGGGCAGAGGCCAGCGGGGTTGCGGGGCAAGTCCCAAAGGGCGAGCGAGCGCCACACCCTGAAAAGGCCCCCGCCAGATCTGCCCCTACAGGTCGGCACCGGTTGGAGAGCCAGTCCTGAGCCACGAAGGCTTTTCAAGCTAACAACCAGCCCCTCGAATTGCACCCGGAAGCCCCCTGGAAGCCAAGAGCAGAGCCCAGGGCCTTTCGCACAAACCCAGGCTTCCCTGTAGACCTTGGGTTACAATCAGAATTGGGACCAGAATGTCTGTTGCTAAATGATGTGGTCATTGTGAGTCATACCTGATTTTATGACCTTTTTTGCCACAGTTGTTAAGTGAATCGCTGTTGTCTTAAGCAAATCAGTTGGTCATTATGCAAATCCAGCTTCTCCCATTGAGTTCCAGGGAAGGTTGCAGATCGTGACCATCTGACCTTGGGGTGCTGCGACCATACATGACCGTAGCCAACGCCCAAGTTTTGATCATGTGACTGCAGGGATGCTGTGATGGTTGTAAGTGTAAGGACAGGCTGTAAGTCACTTTTTTCAGTGGATTCATAACTTCAGATGATTGTTACATGAATGATCAAAGATGGGACAAAACTCTCTTAACTCTCTTGCTTAGCAATGGAAATTTCAGGCTCAATTATGGTAATAAGTCAAGGACTACCTGTAGGTTTGTAGTCATTAAAACTCAGAATATGGAACAATTGGAATTTAATTCCACTGACCCTCTTCTCACCCAGCTTATTTTAATCCGCATAAATACTGTCAGGATGATAGTCCAAGCAGACTTTCTAAATAAGCTTTTCAAAAAAAATCTACAGGTGTTCAGCCTGGTGACCAGGCATGAAAGGCTGGTTGTGATGGGATAAAGCACGGACCTCCTTTTGTTCCACCAAGCCTCTTCCTCTCCTTTTCTCTTCCATTTCCCAGAAGAGCCTGGGTGTTTGTGTGCCAGGCATGGGTGACCCTTGGTGGTGAATGCTGGGGCCTCTGTGCTCTAGCCACCAACCGGGGTTGGCCCCGAAGGACAGATGGGGTGTCTAAGCTGCTCGTGACCTGAAACCAGGATTGTGGATGAGGGAAGAAGGAGAGAGAGGAAAGAGTCACATCTCGGCTCTATATTGCACCAAAAAGCATCGGTCGGCAAATTAAAACAAAGGTCCTTTTTCCAGTCTGGGTAAAAGCAGAAACTTTCAGAGGAACTACAGAAATAGAGATGCCTCAACTAAACCCAGAAGGCACCTGGCTGCACCACCTGGCATGATTTGGCTGGGAGATACTTCAGGACGGGCTCACTTGGCATTGAAGAACATGCACCGCGCAGTCAAAGCCACACAGTTCAAGCAGCTCTCTGGTCTGATAGCCAAGCGGCTGCTCAGCATCTCTGGTGCTTTTGAGGGCTCAGCAGGCCTGAATTTGTCGGTTCTGGCAACCACTCCGGTTGCTTCATGTTACAGATAGTCCTCGGCTTAGGACGATTTGTTTAGCCACCATTCAAGGTTGCAACAACATTGAAAAAAGTCACTTATGCCCCATCCTCATGCTTATGATGTTCACAGCATCCCCACAGTCATGTGATCAAAATTCAGGTGCTTGGCAACTGGATTTATTTACAAAAGTTGCAGCGTCCCACAGTCATGTGATTCCCATTGTGACCTTCCCAGCCAGCTTCCAACAGGCAAAGTCAGATTCACTTAATAACCAACTACCATAATTCACTTAATGATCATGGCAAAAGAGGTCATAAAATGGGGCATGCATCACTTAACAACTGCCTTGCTTAGAAATGGACATTCCAGTCCCAATTGTGGTCATAAGCTGAAGACTACCTGTACTCCTTTCATATGTTGGACTTATAGACCTCCCCATTTTTCTCTCTGATTTTAAGGCAGCCCGAAAATAAATGCAAAAACTATCAAACTCCAAAGAGATCATGAAAGTAGTAGAGGACGGTTCAAATCAATCTCTTTCTAAAACAAAATGTCACCTCTTTGAATTGAAAGGACTTCTCCCATAGCAAGGCTAGGCCACAGGGGGCCTATGTTTTATTTGAAATAGATTATGTGAAAATAAATTAGGGAGAGAGACAGGTTCAAAAATGTGAAAAATAAATAATGATGAAATAAATGTAAATAGGAACCAAAGCAAAGCATCCACCCCAACTCAAAGGATGTTGGTGCAGAATGAAATGTGAATGACAAAAATTAAAATATTTTTAAATTTATTTTAAATAATTAAATTGAATTGTTAAATTGTTCTGCAGCAAATTGTCCCGCGGTTAGTTGGCCATGGCGAGTTGTCCCATTCCAATCCAACAAGGTGGACACTTTGAGTCTCCCATGGCAGCCATTTTGTGAGTCTGCTCTCCAAAAGCCAGGTTCCACAGGTGCTCTCTGACCAAAGAATTGCATGCTGTTTGTTTGTTTGTTTATCAAATATCTCCCTCGTAGAGGGGCTCTTAAATCGCCCATCCCCAGCCAGCTATTAGCAGTATCTCTTCAGCTTGGGCCTTACACATTTTAAAACCTTGTACTATGCATTAAAATGACAAAAACTACGTTTAACGTCAGATTACAAACTTCCTTCTCATGCTGAAAGGAATTGACAACTGGCAGATGACCTGAATGTGTTTTACTGAAGGTTTGAGAGATCACTGTCAACTATTGCTACTCTTTCCATCTCAGATACAACAACAGCAGCCAAGCCTCCTACAACTGACCCCATCCCTCTGGGGTTTCTGACCCCCACCTCTGGTGATCACAGAAAAAGATGTGCAAGACCTAGTTCACAGACAAAAAAGCAGGCTTTTTGGAAAAGCAGGCCCAGACAAGGTAACTCCTTGCTTGAAAGCTTGTGCTGACCAACTGGCCCTCATCTTCATCCGCATCTTTAATAAATCACGAGAGATGTGTTATGTTCCTTCTTGCTTCAAACGCTCTACTACTGAGTTTCCCCCAAAATAAGACCTGGCCTTATTTTCTTTTGGGCCCCAAAATAAGCACCAGGTTTTATTTTGGGGGGATGTCTTACCTGCTTAACTTAGGACCGCTGTAGCCACATCTCCCATGCCACGACACCTGTTGTGCTGCTGTCTAACTTCTGCGGCCAGACACTGTGTGGCTCATTGTGCCAGTGCCGCTCATGGCAGGAGGCTGTGTGTTGTGTTGTGCCATTGCATGCGCAAGGGGCGGCACCAGCACAATGCACCACATGGTGTCTGGCTGCGAGCGGCAGCAACTGCTGCATAAGAAGTCCAGCAGTGACATGACAAGTGTCAGGGCGTGGGAGACCTGGCTGTGGCGGTCCTAAGGTAAGCAGGTGGGGCATGTGGGCAGCTTCACACCCCACCCCCTATGTTAGATCCATGTATCTGCCATTCTTCTGAGGAGGGGGGGGATTTTATACTTGGTACATTTACTTTCTTTTCCTTTCTATGTATTCCATATCCTGCTTTGCATTCTTGTATAACCTTTAACCTGATTTATAACCGTTGCCTGGTGCCGTAGTTTCCTGGCAGTTTCTCACCTCTTGGGGAATGTAAGGGGAGAGTGGGCCATGTGGGCTGCATCGCCAGAAGATGGCCCTGAGGAAGTTCTCTTATCTCTTTCTCAGAGCGGCCAGTACAATAACATCTTCACACCTATGTATTGGCTGAATCCACATCGGAATATTGGGAGGAGTCTCTAATTTCTTTTAGTCTAATTGTATGCCCTGAGGGACCTCAGAGCCTGCTTTGAATCTGTTGCTAACTCAATGGGGACCCCCAGAAGTTGGGTTTCTTCTTAGCCCAAGGTTCCTTTTGAAATGCCAAGTTTCAAGACTCTTTACTTTCTTGAATAAGGGGGAGAGTCTGGGCCTTACATAAAGCAGGCTCTGCAAACGTGGTCAACCTGGAGAGGAAAAGTTTTCTCTTTACTTTCTACTCTATTGAGGGGACCCTACAAACCATGTCCAAACAAAGCAGTGAGCAAAGGGAGGCCGAGTGCTAGGGAGAAACTTCCACAACTATCCAGCCTGACACAGGTTCCATATGCCCCATCGAGGACATCGAGGCTGTCCTAGAGAGCCCCACGAAGCCCCAATGGTTGAGGAAGAACCAGGGGAGTTACCCTCATCTGCAGTAGCCAAAAACTGGGGTGGAAGATGGAACTGGAAGCCCTGTCCAATCAGGAAGAGCTGATTGAGGAACTGCTGGGGGATGACTGATTGAAGCGGCACATCAACAGGCTCTTGATGGAGGCTTTGGAGAATCTCAACGTCTGAGGTGAGCCAGGCCACCAACAGAAGAGAGCGGG